ATATCCCCCCAAATTTTCCCCCCCCCCCCCCCCCGCTAGACCCCCACGACTATTAATAAAGCACTGCTCTTTCCTCATAAAAAAGGCCTTTCCTTTCAAATGACAACTGCCTCAAACTCTTGCCCATATTTATAAAGATTTTTAACCTCCATAATTGCTTGGAAGAGTCAAAGTTCTACCACCTTCATTTGTTAGAATTCTCTACACATTTGGCTTGTCAAGTAAATGGAGAAAGAAAACTTGAATTTCTCAACCTCCCTTGTATGCATGCATGGAATCTTTCTTAACAATTAAGAAATCAACACCTTACCCATTTGGTCAAAAAAATGTGGCTATCATTAGTTGGAAACTTATTTTTCTTACTTGTTAAGTAATATTTTATGGTCCAAAAATATGACTTTATTTTCAACAGTATTCATATTCTTTATTATTACTTTCATTTAGTTTAAGACATTGTTGCACTTTATCATTTAATAGAGGTCACGTCAACACCACACTCCTTTACTAGTATTTCTTTTTATTATGAAATAAAACAGCCACGTTAGTGGTTTTTACTTAAACATTATAGGTAATCTTCTTCTCAGGTATAGCTTAGAGGTCCTTTATCTCCTAAGCAAACCCCTTTATCGAGAAGGGAACCTTCACCCACGAGCTACCTTGACTATTATGATCGGTATATAATTCAAACCGAACGTATGACCTGGGGTATATATCATGTGAGGGTTTTCCTTCGTGAGTACCCTTGGGCCATCTACACATTTTCATTGTATTTATTTCCTTTATTTTTGCTTTCAATTACTTTGAGACTATTGTTGTACTTTATCGCTCGCTGAGTCTATGTCCCCTCCTTGTATTTCTTTTTTTATGATACAAATTAGTGATACTAGTGGGCCTTGCTTCAAAAAAAGTAGTTTTCGCTCTACATTATAAGCAGTCTTCTTCCTCCATAAATCATCCTCTAAACATTGGTAATGAGTAGAGCGGATTACTCAATACTAGCTTTACACAATAATGTAGGTAATTTTTCCTACATGTCATAACTAATGTAATACCTTTTACTTTTTATTTTTGGACAAGTAATTGGGTAAAAATCCTAATGTATGGTTACAGTCTATGTTTCACTTTTTAATTAAGATCAATCCACATAATATTTTCAACAAGCATGAAACCAACATTTTTATCTAAATAGTTTTCAATGTCGAATCAGCCACCCACCCTCAGAATAATTCTTTCAATAGGTTAAGTGGTCGTGTTACATATCATATATTGGTTTTGAAAACCTAATTTCATTCAACATACACTATCAATATAATCAATCCAGTTGTGCTCAATTTAATACGATCTCACATAAACAAGTATCAAATAAGCAAAGTTGCATCACCTAATCACAACTTATGAACCATAAATAATACTTTTAATTTCGGTTAGCTGGCAAGACTATCAACTTACACAAGCAAACATAAAAAAATATACCACTAAATAAACATTCATCAAATAATTGCATTCTTATATAATATCTAATATTACATGCAAACATATTTCAGAAATCTAGTAATTATAGTCTAAACTCATTTCGATAAATAGATCGAAAAAAAATTAAATAATTAATTAATCAAATTAATTTAATTAGAGGATTTTATTCAATTAAAATCAAATTTTAATTAAGCCCCTGTTTGATTCCCATTACTTGGTAATGAAAATGGGTAGAATAATATTTTTTTGAAAAATGAGTGGTTGAAAAAGAGAGAAATTATTTTGATTTACGTGTAATATTATTTTATGGAAGATTGTATGATTGAAAATAGGAGAGAGAAAAATAGAATGTGATGTAATTTAATGGGGGCCAAACGGGGGCTAAATATCAAATTAGAGTCCAGTTCTAATTCCATAAAAAATTTAGGCCGGGACGATTTAATTAAAATCAAATTATAATTTAATATCAAACTAAAGTCAAACTCTAATTCTAAATGAATTAACATTTTAATTTAAGATAAAACTCCTAAATAAAATAAAAATTCAATTTAGGGTCAAAGAATAATATTTAAGTTAAAGTCTAATTTTAATGATAAAATCAATTTTAAAACCTTTTGAAAAATTGCATTCAAGACCTAATTAAAATTTATAAACAGTCCCCCTTCAATTTCTAAAATTGTGTAGTAGCTCTTCATTTTAAAATTACGCATTGACCTCGAATTGAAATTGCACATAGGGACTTCAAATTCCTCAAATTTCAACACTAGCCCCCGTCCCCAAATCTCAACTCAAAAAACCCTAAAATCCCTCCTTTCCATTGGAGGTGCTTCTTCCTCCTTTTCCATGGACACCGGCCATTTGCACCGCTTATAGTCTAATTTGTAGCAGAAAATCGCCGCTACCACTATCTAATAGCGGCACTTCTTGTCGCCATGCACAGCTGTTCAACCACGGTGCTTTGCCCAGCAACTTGCAGTGAACGCTATTGTGTGCTATCTCTGGCGCAAGTCGTTGTTGTTGCTTGTAGTCAACAATGGCTGCTGCCACCAATCGTCACCACTGCCTACTTTCGAATCCAATTTTTGACCAAAAAAGTTTATTTTAGCTTCAAAAATAGGTTTTCAAAGATGAAAATAATTTTTCCTTAAAAGCTAGAAACATGTAAAGAACCAACAATTAACTTTTGATCGTTCCAAAGTACAAAAACAATTTCTAACAAATACAAAGTAGGTGTTTACTTAATCATGCACCGGGAAAAATAAAAACAATTTCAATTCCCACCAAGGTAGTATTTGGATAAAAACTATGACAAGAATTATATCTTTGTTGAATTCTGCAAACTCCTTTGCTTTTTCTTGAATCCAAACAATCATCATTCAATTGTCTAGCCTCCAATAGAAATTTACACGAGGAATAAAATTGAGAGAACTAGAATTTTTCCTTCTTGTACTAGCAAGAATATAATTATGTTGTGTTACGATTTTTCAAACCTTAGCAGCATATTAGTAGAAGTCCAATTAGCCTTGGCACGTCTTTTAAACTTAAATCGATCCAATATTTAATTAACCCAATTAATTAAATTTGGTCAATGAGTTAATTAATTTAATTAATTCATTCGGGCCTATTAACAGTAGCAAATTAATTGTCCAACACTTGCTAGTTAATTAATTGATAAATCTCGCTCTTCTAATTAATTCTCCTTTTATGTATGACCCATTAGATTCTAGATCATGATACCTAATGAAGTAAATTATTATTTTGGTCTAATAAAAAAATTGATAAATTAAAATATTCATTTTTAATTTATCACCAATACACATCCTTGTCCCAAATTGACATCTAGTATTATGTTAGGACAATACATGTGATGAGAAATGTCAACTAGTATGACAAAATCAAATTTTTTCGGTTATAGTGAAACTAAATTCTCTTCATTAATATGATTCAATCAATTACAAGATAGGAAGCATATCAATCTCGATTAATAATCATATCTTTCATCACACTATTAAATTAATGTAAGTCGAAAACTCTTTTCGACTTCTAAGTACACGTTAGCCAAGAACTTCATTATTGATTTAACTAAATGAAATGTAGTTCATAATCTTTTACTAACCAAATGTGACGAATTCTATATTAATTATTCACAACCTTCATATGATTCTTGACATACTCAAACGATGTTATATTAGGGACTCTCGACAGAGCAACATCCAATATCACCAAAGTATAATTGTCACCATATAAGGCACTATAGTGATCTCTCAATTCAAATAACCAATTTCACTATCGAACTTTAAAGATAAACCACCGATACTATATAGTTATCCATGTGAAATTTCTCCAAGGGGTCTCCAATGTTTTGTTCTATAACAAAATATTCATGTGTTTACCTAAATGTTACTACATTTTAGCTTATAAGATCAGCTACTCATTTCAAAAGTGAAAAATGACACACGTGATAATCTAACTGTAATAACTATATTCGTATCTCGGTATTACTTACGACTATGGATAATTCAAAATTCAGTCATAGGTAATTTGTCTCTCACAATCACAACTCTTTGTGATTATCAAGTTATTAAGACTTAAATCTTTAGATTCTATTAGTTTAACAAATTCAATTAAATAATAGATCTTACCAGAATATATTAATTATAAATAAAAAATGATTATGTCCAAATTAATCGGAACTAATGTATAACACTTACAAAAAAAAAGCATTCTTATACTGTGATAATAAAATAGCCTTGAACATTGCTACTAATACCTTTTTTCATGAAAGAACCAAGCATATAGATACGGATTGTCATTTTATTCGTGACAAAATATAAGACTGTTCAATTGTAACAAAATATGTTTCTTCAGCTAATAAGCTTTGCGTATGTTTTTACCAAGCCATTGGGAAAGAAAGCCTTCCCAAAGATAATACACAAGTTGGGAATTTTTGATATTCACTCTCCAATTTGAGGGGGAATGTTAGGAAAGTCAATAATATCCCAATATTCATGGGACAAAAATGTAATGTATTAACTGTACTATTCTAACATATTCTACATTTCTGTTATACTTTGATTACCTAAAATAGATTAGTACAATTACAGGAAAATACTTGTATAAATATGTATCTTCTGATTCAATGAATATTCATTCAAAAGCAATTTTTTCTTCCTCTTTCCAATCAGACCTCTAATGCATCCGAATTACGCACATCATGTAGTGATTTTATCATTTTCTATACGAATTATTTAAACTCTAAAAATTTGTCAAAGAAAAGCGAGATATGGAACCCCTAGCTAATGGTCCTACATCAGTCCTTAACAAAATTACAACTGTGCTAGTCGAAGATTGAACAAGATTAGACACAAAAGTTTGATATATAAACCTAAGATTGACAACATAGGATAACTTCCTCCTCAATTATTCTTAACATGCGGTGAACTGCACCAGCCATTTCATCTGCTGAATTTAGTTGGCAACCATCTTCTACCTGCAACAAGAATTTACAAAATTAATGTTAATACACCTTCCAGTATTCCCTAAATTTACATGTAAAGACAACCCTAACTATATATAGAAATGCCACAAATATAGGGGGGGAAAAACTCTATTTTCTGTCCATCATTTCACATGGAATAATTGTGAATTATTACCTAAGTTTAATACCAACAATACCCTCATAATATATAAACACTCTATAATATATATTGTCAAATCTCTAGTTCGTATGGAAGTACGTGTAGCATGTGTAAAGTAGATTCTTTCTGCATTCTGTGGTCATTGTCTACAGTTTGAATTTTGTTAGTATTATACTGGAGGGTTTGGGAAGACTAAATACGCTACATAAGTTGTAACAATGTTATTTTTAAGACAATAAAGGATATACTTTTAAGGTTTTTACGTTATACTACCAAAGGCACACTTGTTTACTTACGTACATGATCCTACAGACATACCTTGGCACTGATAGAGTAGAGAACGAGTGGATCCAAAGTGGTAACATTGAGGTGAAGTATGGAGAGAAACATAGTTTGAAAGGCAGCAACAATCTTGGAATGCTGTCGAATTCTTCGACGAGAAAGGATTCTTATGTTTGCATGAGTTTCAATCAAGGTGACTTCAATGTCCGCAATGGCAGCCTTATTCTGAGATGTATATTTGTTGGGCAAATTAGAGCAACTGAATTGTGGGTATGAGAAGAATTGTGCGAAAGGGTTGTTTGTTAACACTTTGATCGAGTCATTTGTGTTGTGGTTTGCACCTCCATTCTCAGCAGTAGCAGCGTGTTGAAGTAGTGAGAATTTCTTTGCTTCGAGTGACTGTAAAACGTGCTCGAGATCCTTAACGAATTCTATAGCACCTCCAACAATTGAGGCCTGGTCACCCTGAAACCAAAAAAAAATTTGCTCATTAGGGTTTTTCTTTTTGTTAATATGAATAATCTCTTTGATATACTAAAAGATTTAACAATAATAAGACTTGGGAAAAAGGTAGAAGCTTTGAGCCACTAGATTTTGAATTGAACTTGAAGAAGAGCACAAGAATCTATGAACTAAATTAAGCACTGTATATCAGATCTACTAAAAAGAGAAGCTGAATTTTCCCTCGTTTGGAATATAATTTTTCTTACAGCTGGAATTACTTTGTCACATATGCTTGGCTTTTCCTCAAACAAATCAAAACAAGAATATATGTCCAAAAAGACAGACAGATAAAATAGAGCTAAATTATAAGTGCTAAACTTTGGAATCAAACAACAGTTGAACCTTATTGAATAAAATTCTCAGCCCCACCAAAAATTGCCCTTCTTGATAAGAAAAATGCAAATAATATGCCCATTATTTTGTATTAGAAATTATGTAGAAATAAGAAAATTAACATACTCTTTGTACATAAGATTCCGGCATGAGGGAGCGCAAGACTGCTAGATGCTCGTTCATTTGTTTACGACGATTTCTTTCAACAGTTATGTGTGTCATTCTTTGTGTTTCAGCTTCCTCTTTATTCTTGCAGACTTTTGGTCTTCTCCTTCTCTTCTTTCGGCTTTGGACGGCCAAATCCTGTGGCTTTTGGGTCGTTTCCACCACCACTGGTGGGTGGTTCAGCCGTGCCATGGAGGAGCAGCCACCGACATTTTCTTGAGGTAGCAAGCTAGTAGTGTCTGAGGAGTCATTGCAGCTATAAGGGGCAGCAGAAATGGAGTCATAGATGATGAAGTTCAAGAGTTCGTTGGAAGAAAGGGCTTCTAAAGCCATGCTTCTATTGCAGTTTTTTCTCTTTGAACAGTACAAGAGAATTGAGAACCCATATATTATTGACTTTGTTCGATTAAAATGATTTCAATCATTTTAGAGTCTTTAAAAACTTTCTAGTGCGTGCATCTGTGTGTGAACAGAAGAGAGAGAGAGAGAGAGGGCTCTAGGGTTAAAATAAGAGGGAAAAAGTTCACATTGTTCCCCATCTTATTGACTGAGTAGCAAATTGGTTTCCAATCGTTAAAAAACAAATTGATCAGTAATGTTTTATAATAGTAGACACTAAGGAATAAAATCTCATATCAAATAAAGATTAAAACATAAATCAACTTATAAAGCTTTGAGTCACTCCTTTTAACATGGTTGACTATTTAAGATAGAACACCAAGTTTTAACATTATATTAGAGCTCATTAAACTCCAACGATTCGATTCGATTAAGACTCAATGAATGAGCATAGGGATTTCAATATTGGTTTGCTCAAAATGGCCACCATCTTGTGAGAGAATGTAAAGGGATAAAATCGTACATCTAATAAAGATGAAAACATAGACCAACTTATAAGGTTTTAAGCTACTTCTTTTAACAATGTTGACATTTTAAGATAGAACCATAGGTCATAACAATTAAACTTGCACAAATATTGTCCAACTCGTTTTTAAATTAACATATAGCTTTCAAGGAAACATGACTGACTTTAAATTTTTTGGATCAAACCAAATTGAGACACAAAATGTAGTTTAATAATGTTGGAAAAGTGAGTATTGCACGAAAATTTACTAGACTTTTGAACAATGTCCATCATTTAGGACTCCATTTTCTCGTATTTACAAGATTGAATCCATTAAATTTAATTAAAATTTTTTTTTTTACCTATTTTTAACTTTTGAGAAATCCTTCTCCCTGATAATGTTTTTGTATGGGTGAACTTGGTTCTACCCCTTGGCTTTGTCTTTCTTTTTCATAGGATCTGTTGCTCTAACTAATCAACTTATGATGCCTTTCGGTTGGTTTGGCCTATTGCTGATCACGAGTATATCACATTAAAGCAATGAGGAAAGCTTCTCAAAAATATTTGTGACTTTAGTAAAAAATGGAAAGATTAACTTATTCAATTTCAAAGGTTGACGACCATCTTACGACTTCATGACCAACTTTTGGGGCGGATAGAAGGGCATGCCTCGACTATACCCCAGGCTTAGCCCTAGTCCAAATTCTAAACGAAATGTAAAATTTAAAAAATAAAATAAAATTAGGGAATTTGGCCAAACAAACTGGTTAGGCAAAGAGTTTGGGGAAATGACTTTGATCAACATTTAAAAATTAATTATTTTAATTGGCAAAATGATAGTTATCCTTCAGTTAATAGCAAAACAT